CCAGTTCTGGAGAACCGGTAGTGGAAATTTTGAGTAGTTTGGAGAACCGGCAAATACCACCTCTGACTGGAGATTTTACAGTATCCTTCCCCTGCCATGCCCACCAAGCCATGCCCACAGAACGGGTAATAAAAAAATTTGAATCCCACCACTACGTCAGCCCAATTATTCTGGCTGATGGGGTCCAGGAGGAGGGCCTTCTCTGTTGTTGCTTCTGCCCACTGAAGCGACTTCCACGCCCTCCCCCATGTGAAGTTGGCCCCAACCCATAAGGGCCTAAAGATGTGGTTTTGCCAGTCAGCTTGGGGCCCCAGTGGAGGAACAGCGCAATGGATGTGGTTGATTAACAACAGATCCCAGATCTCTCCCTTCTCTGCCACCCCTCCATGTGTCCTTGGTTTTAGTGTTCCATTTTAACTTTTAATTTTTTAGCTTATATGGAACTGTAAGTCACCTAGAGTTATAGTAAGATAGGCAGCCAATAAATTTATAAATAAAATAAAAATACCATTGTTTCATGGCATCATCATAATTTTATCACTTTACAAAAAGAAGTAAATCATATGGTTTTTATTAGCTGCTACTGATAAGAATGTATATTATGTCTCATTTACATTTGATTTCTAATTTCCAGTTGACCTCATGTAGACACAGCCAAAGGGCCGGATGTGGCTCAAAGCTACAAAATGTCCAAGTCTGAAATACTGACATGTTTTTTGTGAAGAAAATTTATGATACTGAATTATTCTTAAGCCAGCCACAAGCCAATTTTAACAATATATTCCCTGTTGCAGTGGAAGAAAATATTTTGTTCTCTCTGCAGAAACCAAGTCACAGAAAGTGTATCCTTGTAAATGATTGCGTGTGGAATTCAAGACCTTTAAAAGACGCCCTAAATCAGGGCTTATGCAGTGCCTGTACTATAAGTGTCACACTGTAATAAAACTTTTTATATTACCTCATGATTAAATTTGGATGGAAAATGAGCTTGCGGGTAATATAATTCCTTTCAAGTAGTTGCCTGTATGCATTTTGGATGTGTCTGTGAGAACATGGAATACCATAAAAATTACCCTCCCCACAAAAAAAAGTAAATACAAAAGCTATCTTATAGCCATTAAGAAGGGAAAATGTTCTCTACAAACGCTTTGATGAAATTTGATTTTCAAAAACAGGCCTCTAAGCCATTCCTGCCAAAGGTACAATAGTTTGGCTCCTGTGTGTGCCCAGTTTTGATAGCCAAATGTTAAGTCTTGCCCTCAAATAACATTATCTTTCTATATTGTTACCCAATTCGTGGCTCACATGCAAACCTTTAGATTAAGTTTGGGAACTGAAATTGACTAAGCAAAACTATCAAGCTTGCATTAGTGACAGTTGCTTCCAAGTCAGATGAACATCTTTCACTTCATTTTACTTCCTCTGAATACAAAACATCAGGTTTTATAAATTGGGAACATATTAATCTGAATTCCCACAAGGGATGAAAAGACCAAATCTTTGTGTGAGGCTCCAGCAGTGAAAACCTGCTAAATCCAAGAACAAAGATGTTGGGAAATCTCCAGAATTAGTGGAGCAGCAGAGCTCCAGCAGAGATGGCCTGAGCTAAAACAAGCAGGCACACATATACTTGGAAGCAGATATCTCACTCTCCCCTAGCCAGGAGGCACTATAAAACCAGAAACATAGGTAATTCTTGTCTTACAGTTTCATTTAGTGACCGTTCAAAATTACAGCAGCACTGAAAAAACTTGAGACTATTTATCACATCGCATCCTCATGGTCACATGGTCAAAACTCAGACTCTTGGCAACTGACTCATATTTGTGACGGTTGCAATGTCCTGGGGTCATATGATCACCTTTTGTGACCTTCTGACAAGCAGTCAATGGGGAAGCCAGATTCACTTAACAGTGTCACTAACTTAACAGCTGCAGAGATTCACTTACAGCTGTGGTAAGGTAGGTCGGAAAATGGGGCAAAATTTGCTTAATGATTGTCTCCACAGAAATTGGGGCCCAATTGTGGTTGTTAAATCGAGGACTGCCTGTACACTTTTTTGTATTGGTTGCTAGAATGTTATCCCTTCTCCAGTAAAAGTAGCTGTTGGTATCATCATGAACAGATCCATCTAGTTCTTCTCACACCCTTCAACTATCCAATTGCTATAACCAGCCTCAGCGTGTTAGCTGTACCATGCACATATAAACTTCATTACCCTTCCTGATCCAATAATTTGAGACATTCAATGTTCTGTTTCCTTTACCAGCCACATCCATGACCTGCAGCAACCACAATCCAGGTCTTCGTATCTACTCCAAGTGATGAACTACTCCTACTTTGCTAATATTTGATCTTTGAATATGAGGGGCCTTCGTGGTATTGTCCTCACTGGAGAGAAGCCTCAGATCCAAATAAAAGTCAGTTTGTATGTAGAATAACAATATCTATATTACCTGAATGCTGATGAAATGCAATAGGGAGTGCAATGATGCCAATGTGTTCTTGGCTGCTATAATTATCTGGCTAAAAGCACTGCAACCACGCAGGGAATCATTTCACTCAGAACAATTTCTACACTCCAAACAAAAGCTAAAGCCAATCAGCTTTGTTTCAATCAGTTTTTCATGTCTCCAAAAATGAAGACAAATACAACTATTGTAGGAACTTCATTTTTATTGCCATTTGCCAAGATGCTGCTACCTTCTGGGAAATCACCTTGTTATCAGGGAATACATTGATGTTGGTGCCATCACATTTCTTTTTCTTTCCAGTTTATAACTGAAATTTGATCTGCAGAGGATTTCTTCCCGAAGTTTTTTAAGAGGGTTATCTTAAAATTCATGGTTATTTTGTGTAAATGGTCTTCACAAAATGACTGTTTATGATCTGTCACAAATATATTTAGAACCACACATTCCAAACCACTGGTCAAACCAAACCAGTCATCAAACCAACCCAAATAAAAGCCAAATGCAGTACAGACCCCAAAGATGGAAAAATGGTGAGTTACCTAATTCTTTCATTGATTGGGAATCATTTTGGGCCATTATATTCCCCGAGACAAGTTTCTTTATGGAGGCCTCCTGATGCCTTTATGGAGATTTCCATGTCATTGTTTGGCAACAATACATGAAAGTTTGCCCCTTATTTTATTCTAGTAGAATTCTTCAGTTTCCTTATTTAGTCTGCAGCACGATGACTTCCCTCTGAGTACTAGTCAAGCGTTCTACAAATTGGCCAAACCAGCCTCAATCCCAGTGCTAAGTGCTGCCACCTGGCAAAGGTTTCTAGTGGTTTTAGGGTTAAATAAATCATGAAATCTTGAATTCCAAGGAAGCAAATCTGAGCTAAGAAATTCAGTGTTCTTACATATTTGGCATCATGTAAATGGCAGACAAACCCAATTCAATGAATAGGATTATTCCTTTGTTTATTTGGTTTGCATTGTTATGCAACTCGTACATATTTAAAAGGTTAACTACTGCCATGGTAAAATGCTAGGATACCATATTTTGGCCTTAAATAGAGCACAGATGAATTGTGTGTGTGTGTATGTGTGTCTATCCAGTCCCAAACATGAGCATGTAAACTATCAAACTCTTGTTTGTGGTCAGAGAAGGCTTTTAAACAACAGATGACAAAACTCTCTCATTGTGTAACTAAGCCATTTTTGTGGAGGGAGGTTGCTCAGAGTCACATTTGCTGACCTTGAGACAGGTGCCGGAAAGAAAAACTAAATTGGTACAAAACTCTAAATTGTAAAAATAAAATTGAGTAGCAACTTCTAGAATAGTTTTGGGATTGTCCCAAGATTCTGGCAAGGGACTACATCAAGTTTGGGAACTTCAGCTTGTTAGTTCTATTTCAACCCTGATGGACTTTTTTTTTTTAAGTTCAGTTTTAATATCAATATAAAAGAATCAGAGAAAATCTACAGATATACCAAAATAAAAAGACCACAAAGTTAACTAAAAACAGACAACCCCTTTTATTAGCAGTTAGTTCACCAGGACATTACATTAGTGACAGTGTTTTCTGAACCCAAAATGAGTTCAAGTACAGATTAAAAATACGGGAGACTTTTAAAAATATTCCCTCCCTTTTCCTCCCTCCCACCATGACAAAATAACCCCTACCCTTCCCAATGGGAAAACATACAGAATCTCATGCAAACATGACAAAAGGAATTCCCAGAGTTCTTCCTTTAAAAAAAAACCCAAATAAAAAACAAAAGTGTCCTTCAAATTCAGATTTTACTTAAGTCCTCTGTTAAGTCCAGAGACAGTGGTGTTTTCCAACTATTGCTGACCAACTAAGTGAAAAGGCAAATGTTTTCTCCTCTCTAGTGCACATTAAATCACACCAGCATTTGGGAGCTTTTGGGGATACATACTTTTGTTATGCACAACCTAATTTTAATTCTTTTCTGCATGTCTCGCTTTTGGCAGCATCCTACACTATGTAGACTGCTATTTTGAAAAACCAAATGTTAAACATTGTACATCAATTTGTTATTTAAGACTGGGACAATAATAATATTCACAATGAAAACAACCTTTTAGGTAGCAGCTACCATTGCTTCTGTGGACTGCTTTAAAACAACTTCCTGAGGGCCATCATACAGATAGGCAAGACTGTTTTCACATTATCAAATGCTTAACTTGGTGGTTTGATTCAGGGATCCTGGTGCACAAAGGATGCACAGAGAAACTGCACTCAAGAACAGGAGTATGTGTGTGTGGGGGTGTGTGTGTAAATCCCTTGTTCTGAAGTTGATTTTATCCACAAAGGGCAAAGGAAAATATATTGTTTTGCAGATTATAATTTCAGAGTTTTGTTTTTTCATTTCTGCATTGATGTCTACTCAGAAATCTGAAGCCGTAGCAAAATCAACCCAGTACTAGAGCAAGCTTACCATTTCTGATGAATGACCCATATCCCAAATGGACCAATGCAGTCTTTTCATTACCATGTTTCAGTGGTCAATTTTTTCTTGATGCTGCGCCTGTTTTACAATGGTTTGGAAAGGACACTGTGTCTTATTTCATAAGGCTGCAGATATCAGATGCTAAAGTCTTGTCATTCCAAGTCTTGTCACTGCATCTTTTCTGCCAATAGCCTTCTTTGACATCCGTGTTTTTCAAACGTGGCGGTGTTTAAAATGCGTGGACTTCCAACTCCCAGAATTCCCCCAGCCAGCCAAGACCGCTGGATGATTCGCAGCAGGAGGGCAAGCTAGTTTTGCCAATAGATGCAACTCTGCCTCCTGCCCACCCCCAACCATATTTATTCTACCTTAAAAGATAAATGTCCACCTAATTAGGGGTACTGGGAAGCTTGGGACTCTTAACTTTTCAGCACTCTTTGCTTTTAAGTACAGCAAATCTTTTCATACAGAAGGCTGCACGTAAAATACTGTATTAAGAGCGTTCACAAGATAAAGTCATCTTCCCACATTTGGTCTTACGCAGGCTTCTGTCTCAAACGTACATTCATTACTGGCATAGCTGCCTAAACAAACGGGGACAAGAAACATAATGAAGATGAAAAGGAGTAATCAACTCAGAGAAGAACAATGGTAAGAACTATAAAGAGGGATTGAAAGAATTCATGGTATTAAGATCTAGGGGGATTTAGATTAAGATTTTAAGATTTAGTCCTTCTAAATCTGAAAACATGTCACGCAGAGACGTGTTGTCTACAATGCAAGACTGCAGGATGCAAAAGAATGGATTAAGGTACCGAAAGGCAAGGTCTGATTATTAGAGGGGAAAACAACTTCCTCCTAATATTCAGAGGAATTTGAATTTCAGTGGAAAAAATCATTTTACTGGTTATCTTCAAGTAGAGGTGAGGCATGGCAGTCAGCTACTGGACAGGTTCCAGTTTAGATCGCTGCACTAACTAGCTATACACTCAATGGCCTAAAGCTCTCTGCAGCTTTTACTCCATTTTACTCAAATTTTACTCTAGAGTCTATGATGATTTCATGATCCACTAGATGGTGCTCACACACAGGATCAATGGAAACAAATGTGTTGGAAGCTATAGCTAGACTGTTTTGCCAGCAATTATAGGCAGTCTAAGATCTAAGTTAAGAAGAAACCTTTTTTTTTGCTTCTTGCCTTTTGTCCAAATGTTCATTCATGGAACTGGTGCTAGTATGATTACAGCTTTAATGAAAACCAAAACAAGATGACTGGTTGAGCAAATCACTTCCAATAATTAGAAACATTTAAGCAAAACAGGAAGATATTTGGGAGAAGGGGGCAGATACCTACCTCCAGATGGAAAAAGCTTGAAAATCTTTTTGATAACCTACTGTTGAATTTATAGTAAATGTTTCCATTAGCAATACTAACATTTTTTTTAAAATATCGTAACAACTCTCCAACTTTGAATCGAGCAGTAGTCAGACCAGTCGATACTCCAGTGCCTTTAATTCCTCCACTGAGGAATTAAAACGGCTTTTCAAAAGTCTTTGACTCTTGTCGTGACCTTTGTTTTTCCAGCCCGCTCTGGATTGCAAGTTTAACATGTCTTTCCTATGACACATCCAATATGTAGCAGGACAGGACAGAATAAGCCAAATCGGGGGAAATGGGTTCTATTTACCTTGTTAATATAGCTCGAAACACAGACAGCAATGGCCAAGTGTGTATATGTGTGTGTGCATGCATGAATACACAATACTATTAGCAGCATATTTATAAATTCCATACATACACATATACACACAAAGGAATTTAGTAAACTAGAATAAATGGGTTATTGGAAAGTCTCAGTCACAGCTCAATAAGACACATTGGACAGGAGGAAATAATTGAAATAATGGACAGCCACAGGATTATCCTAAAATGATTCTAACAGAAACAGACATTGTGATGACAAATCAACCAAACCCATGGGGCATTTTTCTCTATCCTCTACAATAGCAAAAGGGTGGGAAAATAAGAACCTAATACTTGGGAATACCAACTCTAATATGTATTCCCTATCCCACTCCAAAATGTTCAAAAAGAAAACTACTAAAATACTGTTCATTCAATACTCATGAAGATCAATTCTCTTAAGTTGTATTTAGGATGACCATTAGAGCAAAGTTTACACATTATGCTAGAATGTCATCCTTTTTCAAACAGGCAGGACATGTGCACCAGAAATAAAAAAAAATATTGGATTCAGTTACTGAATCTTAAATCACATCTCACATAATTGTATGTTGAAACCAGAGACAGGGCTATAAGAAGGACACAAATTAAAATATCTCTTTGGAGCAAATTATCTTGCCAACATTGTCAGATGACTATGTTGCTCACTCTTGATCATTCCACCCCTTTCCCAATATATTTGTAAATAAGAAGACAGAAAAAAATCGATCTGGGATAATCTAAATATTGCCAATACCAAAGTCTTCCGAAGTCTTCCATATAAAAACCGAGCATCTGCTTTAACCAAGATCTCTGTTCCAGAACACTATCTCAGTCCTATCTCAGTCTGAGCCCAAATTGCATAATTAGGTCCATGCTTGGAGCATGGCCTCCCTCTGGCTCCATGGTCATATTATCAATCATGTTCTTTTGCAAACCCATACATGTGCAGGACTATTATTCTTGATCCCTGGTGAATTCTTGATCCACTCGTGTCATCTATCCAAAGAGAAGGAGTCATTTTGTTTTAATACCATTCCAGATATTGGAAATAACGGGTGAGGAAATCTCAGATCTTTATGAATCTTCTTCACCAAAAACTGGCATTATAGCCAAGGAGGCACACCTCAATACTTTTAGTAAAGCTGGGGTCTCGAGCAATCTGACAGAAACAGATGTAATAGTCCTGGCTTGGCCCTGAGCCACTGCTTGTACATCAATTCCAGTAGTTCTTCAGATGGTTGCTTTCTTCCAAGCTTCCAGGTTCAATCATATGGACAATTTCCCACTTTTCCTCAAACATCTTGAACGGATATTGCTCAAAATGCTTCTTCTCTGTAAAATATCTCACATCTTATCACGTCCTGTTGGCTTGGAGTAGAGGTTTGAGATCCTCCCCATGGATCCATTCTACTATTGCTTAATACAAGAGATAAGAAGTGGCTATCTAGTGTTCTGGAGTTCTTCCCGCAGCCAAGTTGGCAGTGTCTGGCCAATTTTATACAGTAGCTTGGATAACTCTATGTTGTGGTCCCTATAATAATCTCTCAAGAATGCTCTGGACTGCATGAGGAAGAAAGAAAAGAACAAAGAAACATAATTAAATGCTATGATTAAATATAAGATGGTGTTAAAGAGGACAGGGAACCCTGAAATGCATGAATTATTGTGTTTCTCCAAAAATATGACCTACTTAGAAAGTAATTCCTAGCTTGGTTTTTACAAGTGTGCCCAATATAAGCCCTACTTCTGAAATAAGCCCTAATTAAGACCTCACCCATTCCAGGATGCATGGGTAAAAATTAACCTAGGGTGAGGATGTGTGTGTGTGTGGAGCTGCTCTACTACTTACTTTCTGATAGTTGCAGCCAATCCTCGCACATCTCGGCCCATTTCTTTTGCTGTAGCCAGCAAAGCTTTCCTGAAGGCCTCTCCAGCTGATAACAGAGTTCCGGATTGGCTAGAGAGGCCTCCAGGAAAGCCTTGTTTTTTTTGCCAGCCAAAGAAGTTCCTGAAGGCCTATGAGAAGTCTGGGGGGTGATGTGTGCAAGTGAGGTGGGTCAGTGGATGACACACACACACTTCCAAAATAAGACCTGGTATCATATATATGTTTTCGCAGTATTTATATGTATGGTATTCAGCTTTGTTCGAGTATTTTCCCACGTCATTATACTTGTGCTTTTAAAGTTGCAGCAACATTTTGGCAGAATCTCATCTGCCATCATCAGGCTTCTGTATAGTGTTCGTCTGCCTGATGCCTTTAAATATGAAACCACTGTAAAAGTCTGACTCACAGATGAACACTATACAGAAGCCTGATGATGGCAGATGAGATTCTGCCAAAATGTTGCTACAACTTTAAAAGCACAACTACAATGACGTGGGAAAATACCCGAACATGTAAGTACCCGCGAAAACTTAAGAATATATATATATATTACACACACACATACATATTCTGCAACGTTTCGACAGAATCTCATCTGCCATCATCAGGCTTCTGATGGCAGATGAGATTCTGCCAAAACGTTGTTACAACTTTAAAAGCACAACTACAATGACATGGGAAAATACCTGAACAAAGCTGAATGCCATACATGTAAGTACCCGCGAAAACTTAAGAATATATATTCTTAAACTTAAGTATATATACACATATACATACACACATACATATATATACATACATATATACATATACATATATATATATATTCGTAGATTTTCACGGGTACAGGTATGTCGGACTAGGTGTGTTCGGGACTTTTCCCGTGTAAAATTAAGAGTATCTTGGTGACGTTTCAGCGAGGTCCCACTCGCCATCCTTAGGCTGGTACTTTCAGCTTCGTGCCAGTGTAAGCAGTGTGTGATCGGAGCTGCCATCTCTCTATAAATACTGGTGGTGGGGGCTGGTGTGCTGGGCTGGTTGTCTGCGCTGCTGCCTCTTGATTGGTTGATGGAGTTGATGTTGGTATAATGGGATGTGTGATGGGATGTGTATATATAAGACAGGGTCTTATTTTCAGGGAAACACGGATATGAAGCCACAGGAGACATCTCCACTAGCTGCCAACCAGGGCTATCCTTACAGGAACCACAATAGAGTGCAGCAAGGGTAACTTCACTGCTCTGAAAGCTGCAGAACGCAATATATTAATGTTATCATAGCTTTTTCTCTAAAATCAGTGGTTGTATTATAATTCACAAAAATGTCGGTAGCTCTGAAATGGAAGTTACTATCCAATCTGAAGACTGAGGAAACACTATAGGGCAAGTATGGGTATATACCTGAGGGTATCTGAACATTCTACTTGTTTATTTCGGTGGAGGTTGTTCTCCAGGCCCTCTGCCTTAAATGTTGCCATATGATGGGCACTCTTGGTGGCTGCCCCAACCCTTTGGAACAGCCTCCCACCTGAGATTTGATAGATCTCTATCCTTACATTTCCAGCGGGATATGAAAACCTGGCTCTTCGCCCAAGCATAGGATGGGGAGGGGTTGAGCTGCAAGGAAAATTGGTCTGTTGTCTGGGAGAAGAGTAGTTTGCTTTTAACCAAGTTTTATCGGTGGTTATCAATTGACTAGGGTCATGGTATGAGATAAGCAACCATCTAAAGTCCTGTAAGTAAATAAGTAAAAGTTCAAGCAGAATCAAGGCAGGTACCTGAATCAAAATGGATTGCTTTTAACTTGGATTTAACACATAAATTATGGAGGATTCCTTGTCTTTCAACATAAAATAGTTATAATCATACAACTGCAAAATGTAAGATGATTCCAAAGCATTATTCTATAGGGGGGAAAGTCAGCTTTTGGTAGGTAATATAAGAAAAGATCAAAGGCCCACATGTTATGTTGATTTAATCACCTGTATTCTTCTCCCCATATACTTACAAGACTTCAAATTTAGGGTCTATTTCCCATAAGCATTATAGAAACAGCATCAGCTATGCTGAGATCTTATCCTTCAGCAGGGTAAGGATTCACGAACCATCCTAGCAAAGCTAATATGTTCAGTCGAACTGCCCAACTGGGAAAGCATCATGAGAAATGCCTAATAGGACCACATCTTATCTTGCAACAGTTTGTGAACAATGATTGTGGGGAGAAATCTAAATGACTGCGGCACATGTGTTTCAAAAATGCATAGCCTTCCTGCAGTGGCATTGAATCTCAACATGGAGAGGAAACAGTTTTCACTGAGTACATAGCAAAGGTTAGTGGGGTTTCTGTCCTTACAAAATCAGATCAGCTGGCTACCCGGCGCAAAACTGTGCCAGTATCTTCTAAGAACAGCACATGAAAAATGCCCTCATTTTACATACTTACATCTAAATCCATCTCTGGGTATTTTCTTCCTTTGCTTTTCCCCAAGCACTTGGTCTTCCCTCCCTCTAATAGTTGGCACCAAAATCCTTTTTTGAGATCAAACCTATCACAAATTACAAAGAAGATGATATCCAAATGATCCCCATTTTGTAGCGAGAATTACTTATTTTATACATGCAGTGTAATTACGTATAATTAAATATGGAAACCAACTTTCCTGATCAGAATGAGATCCGTTTTATCAAACAAATGGAATGACCATATCACACTATTACTCTGTTACAAAACTCAATAGCAGTAGAAGAGAAATAAATTTGTCTCCGTTCACATCTCTCTGCTTATCTATTAATTCCAATGTTTTTAAATGCATTGTGCAGTGGTCCTGTAGCTAGGTATAAATGGCTTCTTGTCCTAAATTTAGATAACACGCATACACACACACACACCTATTAAAATGTTTCTTTGTACTAGCCAGAAAAGTAATGACACATGGAGAAGTGAGCATGGTTATCCTTTCCCCTCCTCTCCCTTTCCCTG